AACATATATCATTTTATTGTTAAACATATACTATTCCATTGTTAAATGTATATTATTCTATATGGATCATATATGTTTAACAATAAAATGATATATATTTAACAATGAAGTGATATATGTTTAACAATATTGTTAGACATATATCAGTGAAATCAATAGATATCTGAAGAAATACTATATGAAGAAATTTTTTTTTCTATTTTCTAGTTTAATTATAATTCCAAATATAGATATTTATTATACTGAGGATGGATGGTTTGTTCATTTTATTTTTAAATTATTTTTAAATTAAAAGAAATTTATTTTTTTTCCACTTAAGATTCTGAATCAATTACAAATGGTGCTAATCAAGTAACAGCTAAAACTGCTCAGGTGAAAGAATACGGTGTCGTAAACGGCCTCAGTACCGATCTGAGTATATGGATTACGGTGTTAAAAGGCGAGAAACGACATTCGTGCACGGCCGTTTCTTGCAGGAATTTAGCCGTTTCCTGCCTTATGCGACGCCGGAAAGGGCTTTTGGAATCATCGACCTGGGTAAAAAAACTTTCAGAACATTCCTTACATATTTTTTTAACATTTAGATTTCTCAACTGAAACAATTACAACACAAACTCAAATGGCGATTAACAAATAGTAGCGGCTCTATTGACAAAGAAAGAAGAGAAAGCAAAAAAAGAATAAAACAATACAAATTCGAGATACGGACATATGAAAGACAACTCAATATCGTCGATGGTGTATTAGAAAAGTATCAATAAAAAACTTGAGGGTGTGGGTGTGAGTGTGTGGGTATAAATAGGTTCAGTCGATTTACATATTTAAATGAGATAGAAACAACAGATACAAGCGCAACGGACCACGAATTTACAATTGATTATAAACGTGAAACAGGCGTCATTTTTATGAAAACATTCCAGGACTGTAAACATGATGTACGTTAAAGAAATTTTAATACATTAAATTATAAATTTTTTTACATTTAGCTTAAACAACTCCAGAAACTGAAGCACATAACCAACTTCAAAATTAAAAATGCGGCAGATGCTTTACTTCACGAAATGTGCCAAGCTAAAGCATCTGAAAAATTGCTGGATTATTATGAAATGGAAGAAAGGGTGTGGGTGTGGGTGTGGGTGAGGGTGGGTGTGGGCGTGGCTATTTTTCCCATTCATTACACACACCCACATCCACACCCACACCCACACCCTCAAGATGGTTTTATTTTCTATTTTAGGGTAAATATGGTCATCACGGTATACCACAATATACATCAACATCAACTCATGCACTTGGTGATCTATCGAGAAAGAGAATTTCAACAATTGCTGCAGATGAAATATCAATACCAGTTGGCCATAGGAAATATAAAGAAAGAAAAAATGAATCTCTTCTTCCATCATCAAATAAAACAACAACTCAAGTATAATTTCAATTTAATAACTTTTTATTTTTATTTTAAATTATATTTTTTTATATTTAGTCTTCAAATATTCAAGTGAAGGCTAAATATGATGATGACGATGAAATTGATGACGTTGATAACGACGACGACGTTGATGATGACGAAGATCCTACTGATATAGATTGTGAACGATCGGTTGACATTATGTTGAAAATTGAAAACAACAAAAATAATGTAAGTAAAAGAAACCTTCACTACTAAATTATTATATTTTTTTTTAAATTTAGACACCAGCTCTTCAAAAACTCGAACAAGAGCTTGATCAAAAAGAAATAAATGCTAAAACAGCAATTGAAGAATCAGAAATATTCGAGACAGACGATGACCAAAAAAAGCAACAATCACAATTAACACCGGACAAACATAAATACCACAGAGTGAAGCTTATTACAAAAGAAGAAATTGAACTATCGAAAAAAGATGACAACGTTGAGGATGTGGGTGTGTGTAATGAATGTGAACAATAGCCACACCCACACCCACCTTCACCCACACCCACACCCACCCACACTTACCCTCACCCACACCCACCCACACTT